CTGTTGTTAAAGAGAGAGTGGGGGGTGGGGGGAAGGGGAAAAAAAATCTGTAGCTTGGACTACAACTGTGCAATCCTGTCCAATTAATTAAAATAAAACCGTTCTCTACAAGAGTTCTCTGAGCCATTTTCATTGCTAATCAACAACTACAGAACCACCTGAGTACTACACAGATCTCTGCTAGCACAGTCCATGGAGGAAAACCTTGAATTTCTACCAGTTCTTCTCAAGTGCAAGTGGTTGAAGGCACAACTCAACTGCTTCATTAGACAGTTTATTCGCTTTTTTTGTTTTGCCTCTTTTAGACATAAGGCACAAGCTAATCTATTGCACGTTAGAAAAGTTATGATGCTGAGCTGCATAGCACTCTGTTACCTAAGTGTTAGGGTTAAGAAAGCCTGTGCCACGTTCCTGTAATCTCCCAACGCACACGCGCTACGATGCTCCTTTAATTAAGCTGTGCCAAGACCTGCCCTCCCTCCCCGCAGACATAAGACCTCTCTCCTAACACATGACATGACCAACGCTGACAGTCGCCTCTTGTGAAGAGCATTGTGTAATGAAGGAGGCTTTAGCTTCCAACTCCAGAAGAAGGGCAAGAAATGGCATGGAGGATGTGAAGAGGAAACAAAGGAACGCTACTCCAAAGAACTGCATTTTAAAATGTTACAGAATTTCAACAGGATATTTTGCGAAATGATGGAGCGTGTCTATTCCTAGCTTTTCACAGTAAGTTCTCCATTAACTCGGTGCCCAACTTCAGTCAGGTTGTACTTTACATTTACAGCAGTTGAAGCAAGTGTGAACTACGCTTTGAATACATGGTGCTAAATGATGTATTCTAGGAAAAAAATAGCTCTCAAGATCTCTATCTCAAAACTGTGGATGTAAAAAGCTAGGAAATACTGGCGCTAATCTGTGTCACAGCTCTTTATCTACAAAGCTACAATAGAACCAGCCCCTCAGAGGAACACTGAAAAATATGTCCATCAATATTTGCGTTTATCCACTGGCATGACACTAAGCCACTGCAACAGAGAGGAAAATTTGGATTAAAATAAGCTTCGATGGTATTTACTGACTGCAAAAGACTATACAGTGGAAAAGGTTAAATTACTTGGTTAACTAGTGACTTGGTTAACTAGTGATTCACCCTGCAAAGTATGCACACTTTTCCACACACAAATCCTCCAGAAAAGTTATACATATTTCTTAACACTTAGCATGTCAGATTTTGATTACAAGTTCTTTGTACTGGCACTGTTTTCCCAGCTCCTGGAAGACCAAGATCTTGCTCAATTTGTGGACAGTGTTTTGCAGCTAATATAACCATTTACCTTAACTCAGATTGTGTTTTTTTGTTTTCGTTGTTTGCTTGCTTTTTTAAATCATGGTGTATGAGCACAAAACAGATTCACTAAAATGACTCTTTTTGTAAAGCACACTGTCACATGTTCCTTATTATATGCAAAATGAGATACAGAAGCCTAGCCACCAACAGAAGACAAAAAGAACATTTTCTCTCCATCCCTTTAATTATCATAATACAAAGTCATAGTCCAAGAGAAGTTTTCCTCAAAAGACCTTGAAGTCTCTACTAAATAAAGCCAATTTATTATTTTAATAAAACATCCTCTAGATCCTAGGAAAATTCCAACATCATTCATTCCCCTTTATATTTTGGTTGTCTCTAAAGCAGAGGGAATTTGCTTTCAGTAACATAACACCCTTCCCCGGTAACTTACTTTTCCACATGCACGACAATGATGTCGTCGTTTCGTAAATGTGAACTTGACTTGACAGTTCATGCAGTTGGGTGCCTCTGAATCAGGAACCCACGATGGCTGTTTCTGTCCCAAAAGAAGAGGTTTCTTAAGTGATTCTCCTTTTACAGCTGTTTTACTTCCTCCATCTTCACAGCTGCCTTCCCCAGAGTGAGCAGGTTCGAAACTAACACTGGTGCCTGAGTTGGGAGCTTTTGGTGTTACCGAAGTGGCTTCCTGATTTTCTCCCTCAGGTACATTTACTCTTTGGGAAAGGTCAAGCAACTGTTTTGGTCTTGCTCCTTCAGTATGAACAGCAGAAACAGAAACTTCACTGTCACTTTCAGTTGCATCCTGAACACAAGACTGACACTCTTCCATCGCAGATTCCAATTTATAGTCAGTAACAGATGATTTAACAGTAATGCCAGATGTACCTTCTTCACTGGCCTCTGTGAAATCCATTTTTTTCGCATTTGTTAAGTTTGCTTCATTTGCATCAGGTTCCAGTAAATTACTATCACCCTCTAAAGATTGTTGCACTGGCTGGAGACTTTGTCCATACAAGAAATCATCAAGCTCTGCATCACTTATTAGAGTATCACTTTTAATAATATTATCCTCAACAGTAAATTCATCTAAATCTGGACTAATACTTTCACCATAGTAAAACTCTGCACCATATGGCTCAGTTTCATATTCTAAAATGGGAAAAGCAGAACCAAGCGTTTCAAATTGCTGAGAATCACCATAATCGATTCTATTCTCGGTATCATGCCTCTCTTCGCCAACATCTTTTTCTACAAAGCTTTGGCTGATTTTAGGTAGATATCTGTCATGTTCATGCAAGTCAGTCTTTTTGTGGGACTCCTTATCAAGTGGGTCTGTTTTAGACTTTCCAGCACGAACAGTTAAAATATCACTAATAACCTCTGTCACTTCATTCTGAGGTAGAGGATTCATTTTTTCTTCTTTTACAGTTAATGAACCACATATAGATACAGGAAGTGGAAGACATGACAGTGAAGCCTGAACATCCTCAACTGAAATACATGAAGTTGAAACTCTGTTTAGTATTTCTTTGCCACCAGCTTTTTCACTGCCTACATTTTCTTCCGCATTTTCCTCTTCTATTTCTATTTTATTCTCTATTTGAAATGAGGAACCTGATAAAACACAACTTCTGGGTAATGCTGCACTCTTTTTGTGCAAATGAGGACTCTTTGGCAGATCTGAAGGCAGGGTTTCAACATTACTCTCGTCTTTTAAGCCCATGTTTTCCACAGTATTTCTTCCATGCATCTCTTTGTTCACTAAAGAGCGCGCACTGTCATCTTGTGGCTCACACGGCAATTTTTCATAAGTTGTCTCATCTTTGGGACTGTGCACATCTGAATTCTGTGATGTGTCACGGGCACATACAGTATTAAGGCAAGCATTTTGTTCAACCTGATCAAAAGTCTCATTAGCCTTTAAAGAGTCTGTCGTGCATTTATCATCATAGGGATCCAAAATCTTTTCTTTAGCATAACTGCCTGATTTAAAAGTAACATGATTCAACTCTTCGGTTTTAAGTAGTCCTGAATTTTGCAAGATTGACTCCCCATCACTTTGTTGTGTACACAAAACATCACTGCAGCTGAATGATCCCTGAACAGGAGCCAATATGGGAGGCATGGCAAAGTCAAGCAAACAGTCTTCACTATACTGCGAGTCAGCTGGCTGCAACTTCTGAGCATCTTCATGAGCACCCACTGAATGGATTAAGTTACCTGTGTCATTAACAAGATCACACACAGGTACACTGCACCTCCGCAGGCTAGAAGCTTGGGCTTCATTTGAGGAACCACCATCCACAGTGGACAAAAGATCAAGCCCAGCAACATTCCTCTCATTTTGCAGTGAGTAATTCGGAGCCACTTCACTTGTTCCAACACAGCTGCCTAGAGAAACTTCTTCCCCTGTACAAGTATTAGCATCGTCTTGTAGCTTTGGTGTTGGAAATGCATGTTGTTCCAAAACTGAAAATAGTGACTGTTTTTTTGGGTCGCATGGATTTTGAAGTGTCCTATAGCAGTCATATTCATCTATTTTAAGCAAAAAGAGATTAAAGTTTATTAAACACATTCATTTCTAAAGCATACTCCCACCTCACAAAATCCCAACTATTTAAGTGCTTTCTTAAGAGATACTACTTTCAAATTCTGCAGCAAGTCATTTAATCAGTATTAGTGTGCTGTACAACAAGGTAGCACAAGAACTCACCTGTATTCTTCTCAAATTCATCAAGTAGTTTGTCCAAATCACAAACCGCTGCTTTAAAGTAACTGTCCATTCTAGTTAGTTCTAGTGAAGCCTTATCCCTCTTAAGCCTGCAAAGAACACAATGTTTCACTTACAGAACTGTTATTTACAGAATCATCACAAAAATGTTCACATGATTAAAGGCATCTTCTACAAAACATTTACTTTAGTACATTTTTCTTCCTCTCTCTATACATATACAAGTTAAAAAAAAAAAAAGGAAAAAAAATCCCTATGCTACTACTTGCCAGGCAACACAAATGAACTGTTTAAGTAAGGGATGCCTAATTAACCCCAGAATTTTCACACTCCAATATACAGTAGAAAGGAGGGGAGAAAAAAGTCACCTGTAGCATGCCAGAAAGAAAATGATATCCTCCCTTAGGAATTCAAATTTGACAGTCAATTGACTAATGAATGTGTGAGCAAGACATTTGAAAAAAGATATTCTTTTAGCTCCTCATGTTACCAACCAGCCAATTACATTTTACTTTCACCTACAAATACATTATTCTGCAGGGCTAAACACAGAGTAAAAACTTTAAAATATCAGGACATTAAAATATTTACACAGTGTAAGCACAGGAGCATGAGACAGACACATTAGTACAGAGCTGCAGGGTGACACAGCAAGCTGAGGTCAGTAGGCCTCCCCCATGATGATCAGTGAGCTGTCTTCAAATCTTCCTGTTAATTTTCTTCCAAGATCAAGCAAAAAAAAAAAAAGGGGGGGGGGGTAGTTCAGTTTGTTTTCTCTGTCCTATCCAACACAAAACAAATGAACTTTCCCAGAAACTTGAACTAAACCATTAAAAAATAAATAAGCAAATAAATCCAGCTTTAAAGACTTGCCAACTCAACACAAAATTATTTATTATTCTCATTTCCTATTTCAAAACATCCTGGTTCATTTTCTTAATAAATATTTCCAGGCTCTGAATGTTAGTAGTTATAGCTTTTTTGGACTCTGAAGAACCTTCAATTTTCACATCATCTTCATGCCTAAATGCCCATAACATGCAGTTACCTATAACGGATAATCAAGACATGACTTACACTCCCCTTAAGTAAACTGGAGGGACTTGAATCCCTTCAGTCTCATGACTGACCTGAGGCAGAAGTTTTTCTGGTTTTCCTTCTCCTCTAAAGAGTTCCCCTTAGCCTGTTTGCATTTGGTAATTCCACATCCTACCCTAATCAAAAGTACTTGGACTAGCCAGTGTTGACTGTGCTTAGGGCCCAAGAGATACTTAAATCCTTTCTTTACTTGTGGCACCCTGCAGCTGCAAATTTATTTTCCTTGCCTTACTCCACTGAGGGGTCCTTCCTTCCACTGATCAATTCAGATCAGCATTTGTCACTTCTTACCACATCAATATGCATGTTACATGATTATCTTTTAATCTAGCATATAGTTCAAACAGAGATTTGCAAAGCCTAACAAGGGTGAGAGGAGTATCGACCACAAGCTAAAGGAGGAGACTCTGCTCACACAGAAGCAAAAGCTAAAAAAATGCTGAGCTTATCCTCAGCCAGTCACCCCAAGAGTCTTCAGCACTCTACATGATAGGTCAAATTTTCCACATCATGTATAACAAGTGTGACAAATAGGAGCAGGCAGATGTTTAATGTCATTTCTCTTACCCTCATTTGAGCATAGTGCTTACGCACAGCAATTATTTTATGTGACCTCCTCGAACCAATTAAGAGCCTTACAAGGGGAACAGCTTTGAGTGACTCATTAGCAGAAACTAAACTAGAGATTCCATCCATATTAAAGGATGTATTTATTGCCAAGAAACAAAGTTAACTTTGGCTTACCAAAAAAAAAAAAAAAAAGGCACATAAATTAGAAATGCTGGAGGATTATAAGAAAACCAGGAGTCAAGAAATACATAATTTGGATCATACTCCTTTAGGGACTGCCACACATAACTGACCATCCAGCTATAACTTGGTGCTACAACTAATAAACTCTTACTAGTTGCTACCAAAACAGGTGGCCCTTCACAGCTACAGATTCACAAATCAGCACTTGTGCTGGAGCCATATGCATCTAGTGCCACAGAAATCCAGATCAAAGAGGTAAACAGACCAAAAGCCACTTACTTTGCAGGGAGAGCAAAGTTAGCTCTTTGCTAATTTATCTCCCCAAACCAATTTTCCAGTCAGACACATCTGACACAAATGCCAGGAAGGATCAATCAATCTGGCTGCTTCTCTTTCTCAATTATCTATATAAAACACTGTCAAAGCTACAGACCTACAATTAAGTTCCCAATTGCCTGCAATCAGTATTTTGAATATTTCTAAAACCGCAATATTAAAGTCTGTAATTGACAGTGAATCAAACAACCACCTATCACCAACAAAAAAGATTTAAATCCTCCCTCTGAATTTAGCACTGTTTAGATATTTCAGAGACTCCAGAAACAGGTCCCTCCAAAATACATACTTCAGTTAAAAAAATATATACCAAGGAGAGACAAGCAACCATTTTAGGTACTTTCATCACAGCTAGTTCTTAAGTCTTTTAAAATATATTTTTCATGCTTAGTTGGTGCAGGATAAATTTTGAACTAAGTATACATGCTTCGTTTGATAGTAGTGCTAAATATATACACTAGAAGGATGCATTTACAGCATACAAGGAACACCGACCTTCCTAAAAAAAGGAAAAAAAAAGAAAAAATGCAGAATTTAAGCAGCAGTAGTTTATGTCACTATATAGATACAGATGAAATTATTTCTATAGAAAGCTTAGAAAAGTACCATACTTCAAGTCTACTGGGCCAATAACAGTGTTATTATATATACATGTATATATGTAAAAGCAAGTTAAGGAAACTGCATAGAGGAATTGCATTTACTTAATTGCACGTGTTGCAATTGAA